CGCAGAATTCCCTGCTTCTGCCCCACCTTCAGCTCCAGCCCACCGACCCGGGCATCCAGCTGGGAATGCTCCATCTGCCCAAGAAACCACGCTGAGTGTGTGGGGAACGAGCGCCGAGGCACAAACACGCCCCGGGGTTATTCAGAATAAACCATCCCGCACCCACCGGCTTCTTTGGGATTATGTAGGGGACGACTTGAAAAATTAATTATTTCAGAGGAAGTCCTAGAACTCAAATTCCTAGATAACAACTTAAAAACTAATTATTTCAAAGGAAGTCCTAGAACTCAAATTCCTAGATGATAACAACTTGAAAAACTATAATTATTTCAAAGAAATTCCTAGAACTCAAATTCCTAGATATGAACTTGAAAAACTATTTCAAAGGCAGTCCCAGAACTCAAATTCCTAGATAACAACTTAAAAATTAATTATTTCAAAAGAACTCCTAGAACTCAAATTCCTAGATAACAACTTGAAAAATTAATTATTTCAAAGGAAGTCCTAGAACTTAAATTCCCAGATAACAACTTAAAAATTAATTATTTCAAAGGAACTCCTAGAACTCAAATACCTAGATAACAACTTGAAAAACGATAATTATTTCAAAGGAAGTCCTAGAACTCAAATTCCTAGATAAGAACTTAAAAATTAATTATTTCAAAGAAAGTCCTAGAACTCAAATTCTCAGATAACAACTTAAAAAATGAATTATTTCAAAGAAAGTCCTAGAACTCAAATTCCCAGATTGATAACAACTTGAAAAAATATTTATTTCAAAGAAAGTCCTAACTCAAATTCCGAGATAACAAACTTAATTATTTTAAAGGAAGTCCTAGAACTGAAATTCCTAGATGACAATTTGGAAAACTATTTATTTCAAAGAAAATCCTAGAACTCAAATTCCTAGATATGAACTTTAAAAACTAATTATTTCAAAGAAAGGCCTAGAACTCAAATTCCTAGATAACAATTTGAAAAACTAATTATTTCAAAGGAAGTCCTAGAAGTCAAATTCCTAGATAACAAACTTAATTATTTCAAAGGAAGTCCTAGAACTCAAATTCCTAGATAACAACTTGAAAAACGATAATTATTTCAAAGGAACTCCTAGAACTCAAATTCCTAGATAACAAACTTAATTATTTTAAAGGAAGTCCTAGAACTGAAATTCCTAGATAATAACTGAAAAAACTATTTCAAAGGAAATACCAGCTCCGAGAAGGGGCCGCTGCTCTCCTCGGACACCTCCATGCTCTCAAAACCAGGCAGCAGCAGAGGGATCTTCTTTTTGGCTTGGCTTAACACAGACCTGCTCAACAACAACAACAAAAAACGGAAAATTGTTTTAGATTTATGGCAGGGGAAAGGTGCAGGAAAGAGCAGCAGCTCACAGTGCAAACGTGCCCAGCTTGCCCAGGGAACCAGGCTGGCACAGCACCATTGATGAGAGGATGGTGCTGGGCAGGATGAAACAAGAAAGCATATTTTTTTAAATATGACTGCCTAACTAAAGATTTTGAGAATATAGAAACTATAAAGGAGATTGAAATGACAGCAACCTCCTCACCGGAGCTGCCGGGGGTAGGCAAGCGAGGAGGCCCTGCCTGCATTAAAAAGGAGAAGAAATCTCCTGGCCCTGTTTANCTGAACCCAAACCCAGCTGACTGAACCCAAATCAATTTTTTGTGCACAGAAAAAAACCTGATTTGGGTTTTATTCTGCTGGCAAAACCTGGGGTTTGAAGCTGGAGGTTTAGGGGTTTAAATTGGAAGTTTAGGGTTTTAAATTGGAAGTTTAAGGTTTTAAATCCATGGTGTTATACTGAACCCAAACCCAGCTGACTGAACCCAAACCCAGCTCTGAGAGTTCAGAGATTTAATAAATCCCAATTAAAATAGTTTTTAATTAATTTATTTGATTGATTTGCTGTTACCTGGCCTTGGCCAGGGAGAGAAAGGTGGCAAAAATCAATTTTTTGTGCACAGAAAAAAACTGATTTGGGTTTTAATCTGCTGGCAAATCCTGGGGTTTTAAGCTGGGGGTTTGAGGGTTTAAATTGGAAGTTTAGGGTTTTAAATCTACAGCATTATACTGAACCCAAACCCAGCTGACTGAACCCAAATCAATTTTTTGTGCACAGAAAAAAACCTGATTTGGGTTTTATTCTGCTGGCGTTTGAAGCTGGGGGTTTAGGGGTTTAAATTGGAAGTTTAGGGTTTTAAATCCATGGTGTTACACTGAACCCAAAACCAGCTCTGAGAGTTCAGAGACTTAATAAATCCCAATTAAAATAGTTTTTAATTAATTTATTATTTGCTGTTACCTGGCCTTGGCCAGGGAGAGAAAGGTGGGAAAAATCCCTTTTTGTGCACAGAAATAACCTGATTTGGGTTTTATTCTGCTGGCAAAACCTGGGGTTTTAAGCTGGAGGTTTAGGGGTTTAAATTGGTTTAGGGTTTTAAACCCATGGTGTTATACTGAACCCAAACCCAGCTCTGAGACTTCAGAGACTTAATAAATCCCAATTAAAATAGTTTTTAATGAATTTATTTGATTGATTTGCTGTTACCTGGCCTTGGCCAGGGAGAGAAAGGTGGGAAAAATCAATTTTTTGTGCACAGAAAAAAACCTGATTTGGGTTTTATTCTGCTGGCAAAACCTGGGGTTTGAAGGGTTTAAATTTGGAAGTTTAGGGTTTTAAATCTACAGCATTACACTGAACCCAAACCCAGCTGACTGAACCCAAAATCAGCTCTGAGAGTTCAGAGACTTAATAAATCCCAATTAAAACAGTTTTTAATTAATTTATTTGATTGATTTGCAATTTGGGTTTTATTCTGCTGGCAAAACCTGGGGTTTGAAGCTGGAGGTTTAGGGGTTTAAATTGGTTTAGGGTTTTAAATCCATGGTGTTACACTGAACCCAAACCCAGCTCTGAGACTTCAGAGACTTAAATCCCAATTAAAGTTGTTTTTAATTAATTTATTTAATTAATTTGCTGTTACCTGTGGGAATCCCTGGGCAGGGAAGATGTGGGACACTGGCAGCAGCAGAGCGCTGTACACAGCACTGAAATTGTGCTCCAGGGCATCCCCCTGGTTCACCTCNATTTTTGGATTTAATTCTAAAATTTGCTTAACTCTCTGAATATTTCACCTTTATGTTTTATTTTTTCATTTTTATATGTTTTATTTTTTATGTTTTATTTCTCTACCAACTCCTGCCAGCAGAGAGAATCCTCAAATCTCCGACCACCCCCAAGCCACTCCAGGCTGCAGAAATCAACACATCAGGATTCACACACGCATTTTTGGATTTAAAATTTGCTTAACTCTCTGAATATTCAACCTTTATGTTTTATTTTTTCATTTTTATATGTTTTATTTTTTATTTTTAGAGTTTTCTCTACCAACCAACTCCAGCCAGCAAAAAGAATCCTCAAAGCTCCGACCTCCCCCATGCAGAAATCACCACGTCAGGATTCACAAATGCATTTTTGGATTTAATTCTAAAATTTGCTTAACTCTCTGAATATTCAACCTTTATGTTTTATTTTTTCATTTTTATATGTTTTATTTTTTATTTTTAGAGTTTTCTCTACCACCTCCAGCCAGCAGAGAGAATCCTCAAAGCTCCGACCTCCCCCATGCAGAAATCACCACATCAGGATTCACACAGACATTTTTGGATTTAATTCTAAAATTTGCTTAACTCTCTGAATATTTAACCCTTTATGTTTTATTTTTTCATTTTCATATGTTTTATTTTTTATTTTTAGAGTTTTCTCTACCAACCAACTCCTGCCAGCAAAAAGAATCTTTAAAGCTCCAAGTCCCCCAAGCCAATCCATGCTGCAGAAATCACGTCAGGATTCACAAATGCAGTTTTGGATTTAATTCTAAAATTTGCTTAACTCTCTGAATATTTAACCCTTATATTTTATTTGTTAATTTTTATATGTTTTATTTTTTATTTTTTATTTTTAGAGTTTTCTCTACCAACTCCTACTAGCAGAAAGAATCCTTAAATCTCCAACCTCCCCCAAGCCACTCCGCGCTGCGGAAATCACCATGTCAGGATTCACAAATGGATTTTTGGATTGAATTCTAAAATTTGCTTAACTCTCTGAATATTTAACCTTTATGTTTTATTTTTTCATTTCTATATGTTTTATTTTTTTATTTTTAGAGTTTTCTCTACCACCTCCTACCAGCAAAAAGAATCTTTAAAGCTCCAAGTCCCCCAAGCCACTCCAGGCTGCAGAAATCACCACATCAGGATTCACACAGACATTTTTGGACTTAATTAGAAGGAAATCTGCTAATTGATGGTTTTGTACTCACGACTGGGGTTTCACCTTCGAGGCCAGCCAGGATTTTGGCACACAGCTCCTCACAGCACAGGTTCTCCTCTGCTGTTGGCACCAGGGCAGCACAGCGAGCCAGGGCGCGGTACAGCTCAGCCCAGGAGCGCAGCAATGGCTTCAGAGAGGCCTTGGAAAGGGGGCAAAAATCAATTTTTTGTGCAGAGAAATAACCTGATTTGGGTGTTATTCTGCTGGCAAAACCTGGGGTTTTAAGCTGGGGGTTTAGGGGTTTAAGCTGGAGGTTTAGGGTTTTAAATCCATGGTGTTACACTGAACCCAAACGCAGCTGACTGAACCCAAAACCAGCTCTGAGAGTTCAGAGATTTAATAAATCCCAAGTAAATAATTTATTCGATTGATTTGCTGTTACCTGGCCTTGGCCAGGGAGAGAAAGGTGGCAAAAATCAATTTTTGTGCATAGAAAAAAACCTGATTTGGGTGTTATTCTGCTGGGGTTTGAAGCTGGAGGTTTAGGGGTTTAAATTGGAAGTTTAAGGTTTTAAATCCATGGTGTTATACTGAACCCAAACCCAGCTGACTGAACCCAAATCAATTTTTTGTGCACAGAAAAAAACCTGATTTGGGTTTTATTCTGCTGGCAAAACCTGGGGTTNTTATTATTATTATTATTATTATTATTATTATTATTATTATTATTATTATTATTATTATTATTATTTCCAAACTAGATCTACACAAAAATAGCTTAAAATTTGATTTAACAACCACAATTTTTAATGAGTAATTTTATCTGATTTCTATTACAGCGACCTGATGAGGTCTTCAGGGTGAGAGGATGAGAATTTTAGTTCATGATCAGAAGGCTGGATTTATTGATATATGACATATATTTATTAATATTATTATATTATTATTATTACTACTACTA